GATTCTCATATATTGAGAGCAATTTATAAAGACAATTCTGTTGTCGACAACTATAACATTTTTATTAAATTTCTCCCATATATATAAAATAATTGCGATTTCTAATTCAACCAGACTCTAGACATTTGCTAAAGATATTTTTATCTAGTTGTTCCGCATCCTCAGTATTATGATTTTGGGTGCACCTATAATTTTACTAGGGTTTTTCGCTTTCTGGGCGAATGTCTTCAGGACATACTTCTTTAAGAGATTTCAAGAGTGACGAAATTTTCTACTAGCTTTAGCTTTCCGCGGATTCTTGTCTTTTATACCAACATGTCTCCACGCTTCTAGCATTAGGAGCATTGGTAGATACATACAGTCCAAGTTGAGGAAGATATATAGGACCTAGTCACTCTTTTATGATCAATATATGTATTGGTAGATTAATTATCTTCTGAACTTCCAGTTCAGTTTACTTCTTCTGAACTTCTAGTTCAGTCTACCTAGTACGTGGATTTAAATATTGTTTTAAATTTGAACTTTTATCTCCCCCTAATACCGTGAAATGACCTTCATAAAGTGTGTAGTCAGCGTACCTAATTATATATTGATCCCTTATCATGGGCTCTAATGATTTAAATAATAGACGGAGGGTTATAATCAACATATACATGCCCAAAAAAGGTTCGCTATGGTGGTGATATAGGAAAAACACTACACATTGTGAATAAAACGCAGATGAGAAATGTTTGGTTTTATACCACGTACTAGGTTCTACGGGGAATAATTATGATATGCAGTAGGTCAGATTGTGACAACCACAATAGCAAATAAAACTGATGTCCCCAACAAGAAAATATATAATTACCCAAGGTGACCCACTAGTTCATGTTATACTATAAAATCATTTGGGTCTATAAAGCCTTTAAAAGTGTATCGCAACATATGAAGTACCCAAAACATATATGCAATCATCTAAGCGTAACATATATAATCAGATATGAAAGCATACATATCAAATGATATTATAAGGGTACACAACAATCATAGGGAAGCTGGGAAGCTTGTCAAATAAAATAGATCTTCAAGATCTCCCAAAAATCTTTATCCTCAACTTTCCATTAGTTCACTCACTGGTTTGGGAATTGCTTCGTGCAAATTCACATGATATAATTCACTCCCTCATTTGCTTCGGGCAAACTGATATGAAATAATCCATTCCCTCGTTTACTTCGGGCAAACTGATATGATACCATTTTCTTCTATCTTTCAAACCAATGACATTTAAATCAATCATATCATGTATGACATTAGTCGAGGATCATTCTTATAAAGGGCTATACCACTCCTTAAATAATACATAATTGCACTAAGCCATATTCGGAGAGGGATTTGTCATGTTGACATCTTAAATTTAGTCAAAAGATGATTATCATAATTTATTGATAATAGCAATCCTTCTAGGATTGATAATAATTCAATTTTGAATTAGCAACCAGTCAATTTCATACAAGAGTCATGTTGCATGCATGAGAAAAATTTTCATAAATAAGCATGAAAACAAAGAGAACTCCGAGAAGTAAACTTTCAGAATAGTCACTCTTCAAATAGTCAATTCGAGTAGTAAAATCAGCAAAGTAAAATCACTTTGCACTCATAATAATTTGTGTCCAAAAATAACTTTTGGAGTTATATACTTCTCGACCATGCAATCAATATTGTGGTCATGAATTAACTTTTTGGGTGCTTCAGGCATAAACTAATTTCTCGGATGCTTCAAACATGTGCTAACTTCTCAAATGTTTCAAGCATGAGCTAACTTCTCGGATGCTTCATGCTTCAGGCATGAACTAACTTTTTCCGCCATGAATATATTTTCATGCATTGTTCAAAATATTATTAGGACACCAATCATTTCTTCATCAATTGCTCATCATCATTTCATTATCATCATTTATCGCAGTATTTGCTTCAGGCAAATTAGCTAGAATCATCAAGATGAGATGCATTCTTCGACGATCAAATGCTTTGGTGTGCGGCACGTAGAGACAAATTCCATTCACACCCATATTGATGGCAAACCTGCTTCTGGCTAGAATTTTGCTTCGATGGATTTGGTCGTCCTTGATTATCTTGATCACTTTGCTTCTTATTTTGAGCTCGAAACTCATACCACACCAGTCATAATCTTGACCGCAACCTCTTATAAAGTTGCTTAACTGGGCAACATTATGTGTTTCAGGCACCAGTCCAAAGACAACCATAATTGCATTATGCTTCTTCATCAACAAATGGTTGCGTTTCTTAGCCACAAGGGCTGTGAAAATCAGCTTATAATGTTTCTCATAATTTGTTATCATGTACTGTTGCTGGAGTACAAAATTACTTTGATGAAAAGTTAACAATGTCTTTTCAATTAAATATTCCTCTGAAACTTCTTGTTTAGAGTTTCACTTGCGAGACTATTTTGTGCATAGCTAAATTATAGTTAATCACTGACTTACATTATAATCTCAAAATTAAATATGAGATTAAAATAGTCAAAATGTGTCTGAGGAAGAACATTTGATGACTTTTGGTCGGGATAGTCCTTTAGGGACTTCTATTAATTCAAGGGGTTCTTTTTCAATCAGATACTCATTTTTAAGATCGTGATTCAAGTGGTGATGTATGAAAATGAGAGCTTGTGCCTTCTAGGTATCGGTGCTCTGTGACTTAGCCACAAAAAATTTGACTCAATTCTTTAGATGCCGAATATATTTCAATATCCAGAGCCCAAGCTAAATTATTGCTTCATTCATAAGCAAGCTCAAAAAATTCACATTTGGCAATGGAAGACATGACCTACAAGATCATTATTTTCATGCAACTTTATGAAGCAGTGTGTGACAATGTTAGGAAAAACACTACTTGAAATACATGTTCAAATAATAGATGAAAAAACACCTTTTACATTATTGCATAGAAAGTTAATACGGAGTATTTCTAAAATGAAAGGCACACTCTTCAAAGAGAAGAGAAACATCATATAGTTGCATAAGAAATCCATCCTTTTCCTCCACAGGTACACAACTCCAATAATCACATAACTCAATTTATTCTTTATTGCTTCAGCCAGCAATTCATATCTCAATTGTACAATAACAGTCTTTCCTTTGAAGGTAGGTAAACTATTTCGATTGGTATAATAAAAATCAAAAGCCAATTAGATATGTAAAATAAACAAAATAAGAAAAGTCAAACACTTTCTAAATCCACTCCATTAACGATTCATAGATAAAACTACTAATATTCATAAATTGGGGAGAATACTCATTATGCAGAAACAAGAATTTAAAGTTTCAATTCATACCTGAAGACATCTATATAAGATCATTATGCACAAACAAAATCATAGATTCCATAATAAAATGGACAAGATATCACGCATACCGCTCAAAAGAGGCATTGGTTGTGTCACAAAAGGTGATCAAGTGGATGAAGTATTATTAGAAAATCTCGAATTCAATTCTTGTTAATTTTCTTTCGGTCGAGCTCATCGTACGTAGTCTTCTTAGTGATATTTATCTATCATGTGTGGTTTATGGACTACACATGAAAGGAGTTTAATTTACTCAGTGCACACCTTCGGATATCGGCTACAAGTTTCTTCCCTCATTTTTTATTTTTTATTTTAAAAATGATGACGAATTAACTTAGGGGGGTGTATTCAATCATGACTTTCATAGAGTTTTAAAGACTTTTATGAACTTTAAAAGTTTGGAGGTATTCAATTCAAACTTTTAGAGAGTCTTTAAAAGTCAGACAGTATTCAATCAAGATTTTAAAGAGTCTTTAAAAGTCGTGTGGTATTCGATTAAGATTTTTAAAGAGTCTTTAAAAGTCATGTGGTATTCAAAAAGTTATGAACTTTTGTAGACTTTTTAATTTTAAGACTTTTCCTTCTCAAATATAAATAGTTGAAATCCAACCATCAACCCCAATATTTCAAATTTTCTTTCTAACAATTTTGAATGTTTTCTCTTTCTATTTAAACTCTATTTTTTCTCTCTATTTAAACTCTATAAACCTATCTAAATTCAATAAAATTATTTTTTTCTTCATTATCCTATATTTTCCTCATACCTAAACTCTACCAATTTTTCTCTCTCCTAAACTTCAGAATCTTCTGTTAGAAATAATTATTTCCTAACAATGATTTATATAATAAAGGTTGTAATTCCATAAGGTACTCACGTTGATGATTAGTGATGTGTAAAAGCGGAATTACTGGGTGAAATTCCCTCCCTCTCATTCTGTTAAAATTTAAGTTTATAAGGGTTAAAAGATGTATAATGGATAAGGTTATGGGTCTCACAATCCTAAATGGATTTCTATTCCTAAAGGAGGTTCTCCATTCCTCTTGAAAGAGGGTTTTTCATCACATCTATAAATACCCAGGAAAACTCTAGGGATCTTAACGGTTTCAAATCTCTAAGTTTTCTAGTCTCCTTATCATCAGGAGGTGAATAAGGTATACGGATCAGAGAGGTAAAGCATTATATTCTTGATTCATTCAATTTAGAGATTACATCTTCAATGGAACCAAGTAAGTCTTATCCTTCCTATTTATTTAAAAGTCCATGATCATGAACATTGTTTAGTTGATTGATTTGATTTACATGCGATCATTGTTAATTGTGCTTCCGCATTTAAGTTATAGCGCATTAAGGATTATTTAACATTTGTATCAGAGTCTGCTTGTAAATTAATTAATCACTAAAATTAAGGTTCATGATGTTTGGGGATTTTTAATTATAAAGTTTTATTAATTATGGTCCAAAGAGTCCGCACTTCCGAAATTAATTGATTGACATTTATGGTTAAAATCCTGTGGTTGTGTTTTGTTGATGGAGAATTGAAGGCTGCGTACGCACAATTTCTTTTTTTATATAAATTGATTTGTATGATTAGTTTGGAACTGAATCAATGGAATTCAACATCAATATATATAATTCTTGTTTATCGTGCATGCACACTGTGAATCAACTGTTGACACATGGGAATTTGGGATCAATTGCTATATACGTACTGTGTATACGGCTGTTTATGTATTCGTTTAACATCAACGTGTTGTTTGTGCGTACTGGATATATAAATTTATATATATATGAATTCATTAAGCATGTTTACTTGGATATATGGATTTATTCATATATATGAATTCTATGTATGTACGTACTGTTTGTATATACATGATTGGAATGCTTTTTTGAGGGGGCTCCTTGTGCGCAGTGAGCATCGGTCTAGTCTCTGTGATTAATGTTCAGTTGAGTCACCATGATTTACAACTTCCCACCGCTCTGTCGTGCCGGGGTGTGGGGGGCCCTTAGGGTTGAGGTTCAGTCTTTTGGAAGAATGATTGGAATGCTTTTTTGTCTTATTATATGGGATGGTAATGACATGGCTATGTACGTACAGTTCAATTAACAAACATATATGGTTGGTATGTGTATACTGTAATGTATATATGTTTGGATTTGAATCATATGAAATCAAGAAACATCATGTTAGTTGTACTGTGTTCGTACAGTATATGATTCATATGTTATATGGTTTGTCTCTATCAAATCATGAATTATATGTTATAAGAGAACGACATATAAATTAAGGTTTATTTTGTTTGGACAATTAAATTGAGTCTATTTGGATTTATTTAAAGTACTAGTATTTGTCCCGTGCGCTGCACGGTATATAAATTGAAAAGTATCAAGTTTATGGATGTTATATTATAAATTGTGTGCAATAATCAGGTTAAAATTTATAATATATAACTTAATTGTGTTTGGAAATTGAACAAAAAAAAAAAAGAGATGTAAATGTATATTATAAATGGTTGAAATTAATGTTATGATATCAAAAAAAAAAAAAAAAAAAAAAAAAATCTTTACAAAATTACAAATTATTGAAAACTTCATGATATAGAACGTTAGTGGTTGATGTAGTAGTTGTACTTAGTCTTTTACTATCAATAATTTCAAACCATCTGGATTGTTAACCCGAGATGCAGCCACGTACAACTTGTCATGTACAAAAACCATGTACTAATTACCAATTTTTCATCAATTTTTTTTGGAATGCAATGGGTTTTACTTAATTGATTTGTGCCTAATTTTTAAGTTGACTTCATTTTTAAAGTTTGTACCATTGCTCAGTTTTCTAAAAAATCATTAATTCACAGCATACTCAATTTGAAAAATTAACTTCTAAGATCTATAAGTTGACTTCCTTATTCCTGACTGTTTTTACTTATAAATTCGAAGTTAATTTCTTGGGATGCAATTAGTTTTATTTAATTGATTTGTGTCAATTTAAGTTGACTTTAAGCAGTAAGTGTTCATACCATTGCTTAGTTCTATAATAATAATGTACTATAATGGAGTAATGTGATTTGCCGAAATCTTATGGCTTTATTATATAGTAGGATTGTGTGCAATAATTATAATTTAATTTATTATTTTTATACAGGAGTAAATAATAATTATAAAAATATATTTAAATTGCAAATTGAATCAAAAAAAAAAACATGTACCGACCTAGTTTGATCTCTGTACTAATTTTTTTTTTTTGATTTTTCAGACACATTATCAAGATCTGATGATTTTACCGGTAATTCATGAGATAGACTTATTGATTTCCATTTATGATGATACTTAACTGTTTAGGTTTTATGTTTCTAAATAAGACTAATTTTCGTATTAATATGTTGGGTATATACAGATCTGAAAATATATGAGATTTACTTTTAGATCTATAGATATGCCTAAAAACTCTTGTTTGACATTAATTGTCCCGTGCGATGCACGGATGAAACTTATACCGATTAAGTGAATATAATAATCTTATTTTTTATATGTAATATTTAAGCTTACCATTGTTTGAGTCGATGTTTATTTGTTATGGTTCAATAATCTCATCAAAATTTGGTAAGTCTAGTAAGTCTGGTAAGTATGGCAGTATGCTAACCTTTGAATCAAAGATATAGTAAATTGATAAAACATAATTTATCCACCTTGTTGTTATAAATTCTTATTTATGGACATTATTATGGCATTGATTACTTGATTTGTAACTGTTGTAACAGTCATTTGTATAGATTATATATATGATGTATACGGATATACTGAGATGATGAATACAAGAGATGATTCTCCCTTTCTACCTTTCTCCCTATTATGATTTTACTTTTAACACGTAATCAGCATAGATGCTTTACTAATGGATTATTGGCTTTGATCAGAGGGAGTACGATCGTGAGATGTCGCAGTCACCTCTCCTCTCCGCTTCTATCTCAATTCAATTCACCATACATCGATCGAACATGGAAGTAGTTCATCACATACCAATTGAGATCATTCGCCAGATTCTTTTCAACTTGGAGGTAAAAGCTGTGGTCCAATGTGAATGCGTATGCAAAGAATGGCGTTCCATCATACAAGACTCCGATTTTAAGCTCTCCTACCGTGGACCGAAGCGAGTGATTGTACAGTACACAGCAGCCCATCCCCGGTGGAGAAAGTAGTGTAATCCTTGGAATGGGAATATATCATTGATGATTGTCTCTGCGTGGCTCTCGAATTGGAAGAATTGATACAAGTCTTGGTTATGAAGGAATATGGAGTGGAGAAATCATGGGTTAATTATTCGTGAATGTATGCTCGCCGGAGGCGATCTCTCGCATAAGGGTCGACGATCAGCCCCTACACAAATCATCGGCGATCAACCATCCCATTCGTGATCGATCGCCGTCAAGAAACACAGATCGAGTCTTGACCCGGTGAGACACTTCACAAATCATCACGGTCTTCATCGACGAAGCCGTTCCCGGCGATCCAACCAGTTGATCAAGGATCAAGTGGTAGGGATGGACTTGTCTCGTTGCTGCGATCCTCCTCCGATGGTTTGATTATTGATCAGCCACCAACGTCTTCCGCCGATTGGTCCGATTGTTGATCGCACATAGGGGGCGATGAACCGTTGTCAACAGCCGCCATCTCGGACCCGGCGAACTGGATTGGCGGATGACGGCCGTGATGCAGCGGTAACTCACTCAGGTCCAAGGCGCTGTCGGTTTGAATGGAGTACATGATGGATGGGAGCCTTCAAGAATCTTTGGTAATCTGCCGCCTGACTCTGGAAGATGTCTACCAGGGTGCTAGAGTCCAATAATTAATTTCTACTATGCATATATGTTATTGAGGTAAAAATTTCCTTAGATTGCCAACCCTTGTTTCATTAAGTCTCATGATTAATTTGCCACTTGCAATGTCTGAAGCTTGTTATTGGGAGCATGTATGTGCCTTATTAATTTGCCGCTTACAATGATTAATTTGCCTGTCAACAAGCTTTAAGTTTATGATTTCTCCTTGTTAAGATGTTCTTCTGGAATTTCAGAAAAATTCATTGATTTGGGGAAATTCACCCAGTAGTTAAATCTCCCTTCTGGTGCTAAGCTGCCCTTTTAAGCTTTGTAGTTTTTGCTCACATGATGAGATATATTGCTTTATCAATGGGCATTTGTTAATTGTTTTCTAATTGTGAGATATATGGCATGCACTTTAACATCTTAAAATTAGGTGTTTTTTTTGTGTGCCTTATTAGGGGCTTTGTGCATGTAGTGGCAGTCACAATTAATATTCCCTTTGTTAATTATGGTTGATTATTCGAATGAATATCTTGAAACCACTTCCTTGAATATGCATTTTTTTTGGGGTGTCTCCGTTAAAAGAAAAGGGAAGAACACTCTACTCTAATTGAACTAGTTGGCTGTATGCATATGATATATGATATATATGAGGTTTTGTTTTAATCTTGCAATGATAATTGACTGGCACAGCATTTACGAAGCATCACAATATTTGTTGTGCACTGATGACATTGAATTTGGTGAGGTGATAATTGCTTTGTGGTTGTCATATATATATTTCAATATGCAACTCGTTATGCAAGATGTGCTCTCTGCTATTTCAATGATCATAGTCACCATGTTTTAACCTCATGAGCAAGTTTTAAATGAGTTCTGAGAATATTCTTTTTTATCATAATGTATGGCCTTATTAGTATACTCTTTAATTTGGGTTAACAAAGAGTTTATAGCGTTCTGTTGAATTGCATGCATGCCTGTAAGCTGGTCGGGCTCATGCCAGAACTCAATGAAATTATGAATTTGCTATTAAGAGTAGTTATGATGGGTTTTTAAAATGTCAATGGATTATTTGTTATAGCTCATAAAGATTAAGATTTATTAACACTTTGTGTTTAAATCTTAATGGGAGATAGCCCGGAAGGCACATCAAAGCCACTGTTTATTATGGGACAATCCCTGAAGGATTGTTTTGATCAACAAGTGGTCATAGTCTGAATTCTAAATATAGTTTTGCCCAGAAGGTAAATCAAGACCACTAATTTTATCTGTCACCCGTAATTTTGTCCAAAATCCTCAATTTAGATATTTGATCTAAAAAAGATCTATAGACCCTAAGTCAATCCCTAAAGGATATTTGTTGTATGCTATTTGGTGTATGCGGGTCTCATTATCAATGGTCGTATTGTACTATAGTAATAGTACATGAAAAATATACTAAGTGTTTTGAGTTATTTTTTTTTTAATTTTTTGAAAGAAACCATAAACTTAGTATTTTTTTGTGAGAATATACTCTCTGAGTTGAAATCTTCCCTACTTGGCAATATATTTGGCCATTATTGGGCTACTTTCTAATAAGGTTTGGAAGACCTCAAATGGGATTGATCTTTAAGGTGCCTAATGGCTCATGAATGAAGTTTGCATTTTCTATTTCTAATGCTATGATACTTTCTAAAAGTCAAAATTGACTCGCATAATGTTGGTTTGCCTGAAATAAACAAATTGTGTTTTTTTTTTACACAGTAATCACTGCTTGAAAATTCTGACCGGCGCAGTTTGAAAATTAAATTCGTGAAAAATACTTGTTGAACTCCTTTTGGCATGAAATATTTTCTGGAGAACCTAGACTCGTGATATTTGATGTCTGTAAAAATATTTTGTTAAAAATATTCTTTGGTTATTCCAGAAAAATTTGTAAAGTTTTGGCAGTGTGCTGCCAATTATTTTTCTGCCTGGAGCAATGTTGGGAAAATTTTTTAGAAAAAATACTTCCACACCTTGGATTGATATGAAAAGTTTTATGTACGTTCTAGACTTTCTGAATTACATATCTGCCAAATTTTATGTCAAAATGTGTTACCGTTTTCCCCCAGAAAATTCTGCAATCCAGGTCAAAATTCTGAAAATTTTCTGCCGTTTTCAGCTTGTATATCTTGCTATTTTGTGATGTTTTCATGCTGATATGAAACTATGAAATAAAATGAGAGCTTGCTTGGAAAAGTGCTATTTTTGACTCCCCGAAATAGGAATGAATGGGCCCGGCAACAAACATGTGCTCATTATTCTTTGGCGAACGGTACTTCTCTCATTTTTCTAATTTATGAATTAATAAACAATATCTCTTGTCATGTCATGCCTTGTGTGTACCAAACATGATACTCTTTATTTAATGGATGTGCATGACTTATTTGAGAGTTTAGTGTCCAAGACATAAGGGACAATTATATCACATGCTATTGCATGCTTCTCTTTAATTGACAACTTTTAGCATATAATCTCTTGATTAGGCTCATATAAGAGCTTTTGTTATTTCTTGTTGGCAATTAATTATTTGCTATAGGCCATAGCTATTGAGATTCATCACCCAATTTATAAGTGTGGCAATATCATGAATTCTCAATATGGTTAGGTTGCACCTGTCGTTGCTAAACCTTAGCTTGCATGTGATAATAGTTAAAGGCTATGACATGTTTACAGTGCTAGTTTCTGCTATAGAAACTTTTTGACATGAGATTTGGGCATATGATATTTAAATTTATAGCCCTCATTGTTTTGTATATTTATTTGCCCAGAAGGTAGTTTAAGGATTTTAATTCTCTAAGTCACCATTTTTAGGATGAAACGTGACGATAAATTCCTGACCAAAAATGGTCCACATATCTCATCAATCCCTGAAGGATTGCTATGACGTTACTATGAGTCAAGTTCTTTTTACCCAAGTCTAACTCAATGCATATCACAAATCAATCCCTCAAGGATTGCTATACCCCCCTTTTCACCTAGTACGTGGTTTCAGAAGTAACATTTTCCTATCTGCGTTATTTTTTTTTGCGCATTCTATTTTATATCACCACCACAACGTACCTCTAAAAGGGCTATCAAAGAAACCTCCGTCTATTGATTAAAATACTGAAAGCCCATGATAGGGGATCAATACATATAATTGGGTACGTTGACTGCATTCCTAATGAAGATTGTTTCTCGGCATTAGGGGGAGATAATATACTACTCCGTAGCTTTTTGGAATGCCAAGAAATTTCATAAGAATAAAAACATCTTCATTATTTAAATCCATGTACTAGTTAGATTGAACTGGGAGTTCAAAAGATAATCTATTTGCGATTTTAGCAAATAATCTGCCAAATACATCTATTGATCATAATGATCATAAAAGAAGTGACTAGGTCCCATATCCTTGGACCAAACATATCTATCTATACTCCTTGACACTATAAGTGTAGGAGATCTATTGGTGAAAGAGATATGGATCATAATACTAGATCTAGTAAAGAAATATTGTCACTCTTGAATAGCGATGTCCTGCAGACGTTCGTCCAGATGACGAAAAACCCTGGTAAGACTTATTGGTGCACCTAACAAACGTAATACTAGGGATGCGGAACGACCAGATCAAAATATCTTCGGAAAATGTTTAAAATCTGTTTGTTTTAGAAATTGCCATTACTTTTACAAATATGGGAGTTTTACAAAAAGGTTATAGTTGTCGACAACACAATTGCCATTACAAATTGCTCGTTATATGATAATCTGGATCCAGAGTTAGGCACCAGAAGTGCCATGACTATTTAATATATAAAGGAGCAATTAAGGCATAGCTCGACTCGCTAATATGAATAAATTCTCTTTATAACAATACACCATTAAGCGTTAACCCTGAAGGTTACAAATGGGTGTGTGCATGAAAGAGAAGTAAGAATAACAAGGTGATATGATATGCAACGAGTTTGTAGCCTATGGGTTCACGCAGAGACCCTTAATTGATTTTAATCAAATATACTCTCCTACGGTAAATGGCATTAAGTTCCGCTACATAATACAATTGGCAGAATAATAAATTTAGATATGCAGTTAAATTTATCTTGAGAAATCCCTGATGGAATCATAATTCTCGAAATGAGGATTTTTAAGTATTATTATGTGTCATTATTTACTCTTTAAAGGGTTACGAATGGAGTTAATATCCTCATTGAAGGAATAATATGTACCATTGTGTACTCGATAAAGGGTTGATAATGGACTTATTTATTACTTATTATCTCAGTCAAGATTGATAGTGTAAACATCTATGGTATATATATAAAGAGCTTGATAATGTCAGCTCATGTTTAAAGACTGAGACTTTTGAAATAAAAAGCTTGTGAAAGCTATAAGTATTATCTCGACTTGAAGATCGAGTTTTTCTTTGAAGTTTTTTTTTTTTTTTATATATACACCAGTCAGCCTACATCTAAAAATGCTTTTTCACATGTCTATATGCATATAAGTGTCATGTTTTCATCAAACTAAAGGTTGCCTAATAATCTCCTGAAGCAGATAAGGAACCTTTTTGGACTCGAAGTCCCTTACTTCATTATCGTTGGAGCACCATTATAGAACCAGAAGTTCCATAATTGCAACATATTTACGATGAAATTGATAGCAAAATCTAGTGCCCCCCTACAAATGAAGTACTTGAATAATGATTAACATATCCTCCAGTATCTTCGAGATACAAAGAAATGACATGTATGTAAGAAACCATGATACTATTTTAATAGGCTACTTGGGTACTGGCTATTTTGTTTGATCCCCGCCATGCCAAGTCCAAACTGGTTATACAATGAATTTTCCTAAATGTTCAAAATGATGACAATAACACTTGTGTTGCACAAATGTTATATTAGCTCTAGAAGAGCCATAAGATTATTGTACACTACTCTAGTGACAATCCAGAAGATTTGTCCAATCCATCTCTTAAAAATTTGAAATATATATAGAACTTGAAGATTGTTATCTTCAGGGGGAGACTGGAAGTACATTTACTCGAATCAATCCAGAAGATTAAACATTGAATGTAAAATCCTGAAGATTAAGTCATAAAAGACTAACAGTTGCGCACTATTTGCAACACATAAATACATAAATATCATGTACTCTTTTCCTCACTAGTTTTCTCCCATTGGGTTTTCTAGTGTGGTTTTTAACGAGGCATGAGTATGATATAGTAATGACAATGAGGAAAAGTTGCAAAATAATTGCTTAATGGACAAACCCCAAAATCCTGAAGATTATGCGGTTTGCGCCCTGAAGGCTTATGGTTGTACTCTTTTTCCCTTAACTAAGTTTTTCCCACAGGGTTTTCTTAAGTTAAGGTTTTTAATGAGGCGACCAATACAATATATGTTCTTACATATATCATGTACTCTTTTCTTCAACTAGGTTTTTTCCCACGTGGTTTTCCTAGTGAAGTTTTTAATGAGGCATGAATATATTTAAACATACTATCTATTGTACTCTTTTCTTGTCTAGGTTTTTCCCACAGGGTTTTCCTAGCAAGTTTTTAATGAGGCAAGATCGTGGTGTTATAATGTCCAAGGAGGAGTGTTATAAATTCTTATTTATGGACATTATTATGGCATTGATTACTTGATTTGTAACTGTTGTAACAGTCATTTGTATAGATTATATATATGATGTATACCGATATACCGAGATGATGAATACAAGAGATGATTCTCCCTTTCTACCTTTCTCCCTATATGGTTTTACTTTTAACACTTCTCTAATAATCATAACTATCCTAAAAATACTATTAATAGGCATACTAATAATCCTAATTATAAACCTAACAGTCAAAATTAGCATTATTAATTTTTACGCCATATATTAGAAATTAGTTTAGTGGATAGGGTGGGAGTCAAATTTAGTGTTACTGTCTGAAATTGTCGAGAAGCTTCGTTATCCATTTCCAGATTTTTGTTTCTCTCTACCTCCATTCACGATGAAGAATACATCAAACTTCTCTCTAAAAATCTGGCTAGATTTTTTGCTTAATCTTGCGATTCTGAGTGTCTAATGGGCATAACTGTTCAAAAATATTTGATTTTAGAACAGATCTTTGAATCTGATGTTTGCTGTTTACACTACTTAGCTAGGTTTCATTCTTGAAGTTTTGTTTTCGAGATTCACCGTTCGCCAAAACCGAAACCAAAACCGTCTCTAGGGAGTTCGCATCATCCAATTCCGGCATAAGCTTGCGCGATTGAATCCAGTCGCACTCAATTTAGGTAAATGTTCTAACTCTATGCTTAATCTATGTATTTTTGTTCGGAATTTGAAATAAATATTGTAGATTCTGTAATCGGGAAGGAATAAGCTTAATGCACTACTATTCATACTGACCTAGTTAGAGATTTGACATTTTGTGTTTATGTTTTTCAGGTGTATGTTGGGATATCGCTAATTTTATCACCGATTTGCTTAAGATGAGTTCTTTCATTTGTAATTTTGGCCATCTGTTTATATATTCATGAAATCTGGTATGAATAAACTTAATACGCTACTATTCACGGCGACCTTGTTAGAGATCTGTTCTAATAGTAAACTGTTTTCAGGAGCATGTTTGGATAACTCTAATTCCTCACAGCTTGATTCATGCTAGAGACAAAACTATATTGGTTACGGGTAAGTTATCGAAGACTTGAAGTTAATTTTTTGTGACTTACTTTCTGTTTTAGGTTGTAAAGGTGTGCAGTGTGTACCGAGATTTACTTTCTTATGTGGTAGTTTTCAGTCATACATAAAATTTTTTTATTGAAATGAACAATGCATGCTACTTTACTTTTCTTTATGAACAATGCATGCTACTTTATGTTCCCCCATATTTTGACTTTAAATTATTTTTTTTGATATTTCTGCAAAAGAAACTAACATGTTTTTCCCCTAAGGGATGGCAAATGATGAATACTCAATTCCGATGCCCATGTTTTATAGAAAAAAACATAAATAAACTATTAATATACATAAAATGTAAAATTGCACCATTATACAATAAAAATTTGCCAAATTATTGTGTGGACCATAACAAAAAAGTATATTTTTAATATATTAAATGTACATTTTAATATATTAAAAATATATTATTTTTGTATTAAATATACATTATTTTATAACTTACGAAATATGGTCCACACAGCTTGTGTGGATCATGGTCCACACAATAATGATTGTAAAATTTTGCACAATAATAATTAGGCCTATCAATATAATTAAACAATAAGGTCTATGTATATTATGTTTTCATATACTAATACAATATGTACTTAATCATCCAAGCCCATTCTGGTGGCCCAATCTTCTGACCCAATCCAAATTTCATACCCAACCCAAATCAATGGAACATTTAAGCTATTTTGGCATTCATCTGTGACCTTATCGCCGACGATTCACCTTCTTTTTCCTCTCTCTCGAACATTCTACTGTTCTCTATCTCTTGGTCTGAATGTCTCAAATCAAACCTCTAATCTCAACTCTACGACCAATTTTCGGTTGTAGAAGGCTGTAAATGTGTTTGTCGAGGTTTTATATGCTAGTAATCGTTCTCTACATCACTGTCTTTAACTTGTATCCTAAAATCGTGAATCTGATAGGCTAAAAATTAAACCCTAGTTCGTCGGCGATGTTGGATTTGTCGGCCATGTTCGCATTCAGCTCATCATAAACATGAAGTATTACCATGTTCGCGATGTTGATTTCAAAACCTAATTCCAGAAAACCCTATGAGATAAGTGATTCTGGTCTATCTATTTCTACTTACTTATTTCGATTTGATTGACTATTTTGTTTTGCATGTTAGTCAAAATTAGATTTCTGTAAAACCCTATATACATACTTTCGCGATTTTGTATCAGAACAAATGTACAGTAAATTTCCGTTTGTAAAATGAAGAAATTACTAACAATGTATTTTTTTTTTTTGTTTTTCAGAGCAAAAAGATGGAGGCTACAACATTGGTAAAATCAATCTAAGCACTGCTACTATATAGAACACATCATAAAGTAAGCCTCAAAAATGAAACTCCATTTATTTTGCAACCATCCAGTTTTTGGTTAATCTTCATTAGGGCAGATGATGAATGTAAAAAGTGTGATCAGTACTTCATAAATTTTTAGTTATCCAGTTCCTGCCATCAATTTGAAATTCTCTTAACTGTTAGTTACATTTGTTTCTTCTTAATGAATTTAAGTTCTTAGAAACTTAAAACTTAATTACATAGATAATTTTATTACTTAATTATACAGAAAGAAAATTACATACAGCGAGATAGATACATTTTAAGTACTATAGTGACTCCTTACATCGAAATCTAGAATTCTAGATACATTATAACTACTAACTATAGTTCTGATCTGTCTTCACTTGATTCCAGCTTTAGTTGTCATTCATTTTAGTACAGAATGTTGATATAAACACCATTGTTCCTAGGAAAATGGAAAAGTATTAGTATAAGCTTGTAATTAAGCAGTAATTTAAAATAGGATGGTGTACTTACATCTGCATTTTGACACTGCTAAAATCACAACTTGAAAACAGTGTGAAAAACAAAAATACATAGGACAAAAATAAAAACACAAATATAGTTAAAAAAAAGTATATTTTTAAACTTCATAGAATCACACAAAATCATTTAAGTTTGTTAAATAAAAAAACAGATATATGTGCTTACACAACAACTTCAAACTCCTTTGGAATTTTGGAATTTTATGAATATATAAAGCTAATAAAATCACACATAGAAGAGTACAAATTAGTGTTTTAGCTAGAGTTCTATAAGTTTGAGTAAATAGGCAACTTATCTTTATTAGATCATTCTTGCCCCTTTGAAAGAAGCTTTCAGACTCCATAATCTCTCTGCATGCAAACCTTGATTTTCTCCCTGTGTTTATGTTCAGATGTAGGTAGCTCTGTAAACAAATTAAATAAGGTTTCTAGCTAATGAGGTAAAACTATGTGTGTTAGTAGACTGTAAGTAAAACATACCTGATACTGTAGAATCTTTACCCAATTTTGTCTGACCACATGCATAATCCAGAAAAAATATCAATACAATTGTCAAAAAAAAAAAAAAAAAAAAAAAAAAAAAAAAAAACAAACAGAAGTGCAGGTGTATAGAGCTTTAGCAGATGTGCAGGTGTATAGAGCAATTTTTTCCACTATGCTATAGGAAATCATAAATTCATATGCTTTTGTACTGTGTGTGATACTGTAATGTCTGTACAGATTATGCAATTCTTTGGGCTTATTTTAATAGCATTTTTACTGGATTCTATTTTTTTTCAAGAAAAAGTGAAAGAGGATGCAAAGCTTTACCAAATCTGCAGCCCAGATTTTGCAGCAACAACTACTGCTTCCCCTAAGCACATCCCCGTTCGTGAAGCTTCCCCTGCACATCCTTCTTGATGCTATTCATTCCAGCCTATCTCCTCTAAATACATGAACATCTTCGTCCAGACTTTGCGCTTCAACCCCTCCGTATCTATCTCCAATTGGCTGTGATATAAGACTTATTTATAATGTTGAAGTAGGTATAGATTTAATATAACAGATTTTGAATTTGAAATTTATCTCCAAACAATTAATGTTAGTCTAGTAGATTGTAATAGTCTTATTGGAATTTGTAAGCATGCTTTGTTTGTTGCAATAATCTGAACACAATAAATACATTCAATAGAGCTAGAGATATATATTTATTATTCTGAGCACAATAAATGTCTTTTGCAGTAATAATCTTACAAATCTCTATGTACCAAAATGCATTCACACACTTAGGCGGGAAAAATTTGTGGCTATTTCATTTTGCTTTAATATATATAGAGATAGAGATATAGAGATTATGGACTCACTTTAAATTTTAGGCTCATTTAATTTGTGTTTATATTTGAGTCTATTTGGGTTATTTAAAGTATTATGGATTTGCTTTAAATTCAAGGTTCATTTAATTTGGGTTTATATTTGAGCTGTTTGGTTTATTTAAGGCATTAAGGACTTGCTTTAAATTATAGGCTCATTTGAGATCAATTATGGTTGGAGGTTATATCCATTACTAATTTATATACATGTTTATAAATGAATTATTAGCATAAGGCGAGTGTGTTAGTCGCCAAAGCGGCCCACTCATGGTAATAGCTAAATAATCATTTATGTTTATGTTTACAACATATATATAAATTAAAGTTTACTCACATAAATGAGTTATTAGCATAAGGCGAGTGTGTTAGTCGCCAAAGCGGCCCACTCATGGTAATAGCTAAATAAACATTTATAATTATGTTACAACATAAATTAAAGTTTACTCACATAAATGAGTTATTAGCATAAGGCGAGTGTGTTAGTCGCCAAAGCGGTCCACTCATGGTAATGGCTAAATAATCATTTATGTTTATGTTACAACATAAATTAAGGTTTATTCACATAAATAGATTATTAGCATAAGGCGAGTGCGTTAGTCACCAAAGTGGCCCACTCAAGGTAATAGCTAAATAATTATTTATGTTTACAAATGTTTATCGTACACAGGTATTTTGCATCATTGAATGACATTAAAATATTGATAAGCATTTGTGATCATTAATACATGGTTCTAGCGGTTGCCCAAAGGTAGATCAGACATGTGATTAATGACAATTTAGGAGATTATGATTCTTGTTTTGTTAATATGTAGTGCATGTCCAAAGATGACCTATATATTAAATTGAAACTTGATGAATAGTCTCATTCAAGTATGTGTGAATGATGCATGTCGGTAAATAGACATTGTATTTAAATTTGACCCAAAGGCGAATTTAAATGCAAACTTAAGGTCTATAAATTATAGTCTGAATAAAGGTTTGTTACTCAAAGCAATTGATATGTGAGATAAATGTTCGTAGTGAACACTATAATGTCACGCTATAATGGTGACAGTTTTAATGTCAGAGTTTTTTTTTTTTTTTTTTTTTTTTTTTTTTTTTTTGTTAAAAGGAGGTCAAGCATCCTATGAAGGTGCAAGGTAATGTTCAGAAAGTGCCGAAATGCTATTTCCGTAACAAACCTGGGCACAAGAAGGCTGAATGCCTGAAGAGGAAAGCTTGGATGGAAATAAAAGTATACATCCAGTTTCAGTATGCTTTGAATCCAATCTTGTTAAGGTTCCTTCTAATACTTGGTGTTGGACATTGGTGCTACAACACATGTTTATAACATTAAGCAAAGTTTTTTTTTGATGTTTCAACCTCATAGGGAAAATGAAAAGTGTCTTTTCATGAGAAACATGATGAAAGCTAGAATTGAAGGTGTTGGAACTTACAGAATTAAGCTGGATACAGGTTTTTGCCGTGATCTTGAGAATTGTCTGTATGTTCCAAAATTGTTCTAGAAATCTTGTTTCAACAGCTAGGCACACCACATCAAAAAAGGAGGTTTGTTACTCAAATATTTGTATCAACAAAAACCTTTATGGTTCTGGTGTTTTGTTGGATACACTATACTGTTTCAATCTTAATGATGACTTTGTTAATTCCTTGTTTAATGTGATGTTTGTGTTAAAAGGAGTGCGCCAAAAGAATCTTCAGCCGACTTGTGGCATAAAAGGCTTAGTCATATATCCAAAGAAAGGATATTGAGACTTATTAAAGTTGGAATTTTGTCTCAATTGGATTTTACTGACTGGAATGGTGCATGTGTCGATTGCATAAAGGTAAAGCAAGTCAGACATGTATCAGTACACTCAGCCACAAGAAGCTCATGATTACTTGATTTAATACATACAGATATCTGTGGTCTTTTTTTATGTTCCGTCATAGGGCGGTGATAAATATTGTATTACCTTTATTAATGATCATTCTGGGTACTGTTACATCTATTGACTGCGTGAAAGATCTCAGTTTGTGGATGTCCAAGAGACATTCATATTTGCAGTTGAGAATCAGTTAAATAGAAAGGTAAAGACAATTAGATCATATAAAGGTGATGAGTATTATGGGAAAACATCAAAAGTTAGGCAAATTCCCGACCCATTTAAAGAAATTCCTCGAATCTAAGGGCATTTGTGCATAATACACAATGCTAGGCACACCACATCAAAATGGTGTGGAAGAAAGGTGAAATCGTACTCTAAGGGAAATGGTTAGGAGTAAGGTCAATAACTGTACATTGCTTGTTTCATTGTGGATATGTGCATCAAAGACAACAACATACTTACTCAATAGGGTTCCTAGTAAGGTTGTTTTTTAAAACACCTTATGAACTGTGGACAAGAAGGAAACCTAGTTTGAGGCATCTTCACATTTGGGGCTGTCAAGCTGGAGTGAGGATATATAATCCACATGAAAATAAATTAGAATCCAGAACCATTAGTGGTTATTTCATTGGATATCCAGAAAGGTCTAAAGGGTACATGTTGATTGTCCTAATCATAAGTACGAGGATAGTTGAGTCTGGTGATGCTCGCTTCATTTAAAATGGCGAAGTCCGTGGGAGTGTGGGAGCTCGTAATGTTGCGATTAAGGAGTCATTGATGGATCCAGATTCATCAAGTGATCCTTTTTCCTGTTGTTGTTCCTATTGCTGCAGTGTAGCCTTATGGAAATACTATGGAACAACAGCAAGTAGATGCTCCAATTCCATATGAGGAAGCTATTGTAAATGAAGATGAGGTTGAAACTCAAGATGATGATCAAGTGCAACCTCAGCAGGAAGTGGAATTAAGGAGATCTACTAGATAGAAAAGATCAGCCATTCCTGATGACTATATTGTTTATGCACTTGAGCATGAAAGTGACTTGAGCATTGATAATTATCCAGTCTCATTTAACCAAGCCATACAGGATAATAATTCTCCTTGAGAATTATTTTGGTTTTGGTGGCTCATTCTGTTCTTGAGCTCCACCAAATGGTTGTTAAAATTGCCTTTCTGAATGGTAAATTAAAAGAGGAAGTGTACATGGATCAGCCGCAAGGTTTCATGACCACATGAAAGGAAAATCTAGTACGTAGATTGAAGAGGTCGACCTATGGATTAAAACATGCTTCTAGACAATGGTACTTGAAATTGTCATTTGGTTTTGTAGAGATCACTGTTGATCGGTGTATCTACATAAAGATTTAATGGAAGAAAGTTTGTAATCCTAATATTACATGTTGACGACATTCTTCTTGCTGCTAATAATAAAGAGATGTTGCGTGATGCTAAGGAATATCTTTCTAAGAACTTTGAAATGAAGGATATGGGTGAGACTTCATATGTGATTTGGAATAAGAAATATTCTGTGATAGATCACATGGGATTTTAGGTTTATCCTAGAAGTCTCACATTAACAAAGTTTTAGAAAGATATAAACTGGAAAACTGCAAAAGAGGGTCTTGTGATACTTACAAGGCACTAAGGACCACATGCTCACCTATAAAAGGAACGAATAACCTGGAGGTTATAGGTTATTCGGATTCAAACTATGCCAGATGTTTGGATACCCGAAAATCCACATTCGAATATATTTTTCCACTTGCTCATGGAGCAATATCTTGGATGAGTGTGAAGGAGCCTGTCATTGCTACTTCCACTATAAAGGCAGAATTTGTAGCATGCTTTGAGGCTACAATTCAATCACTATGGCTGCGTAATTCCATTTATGGTTTGGGCATTGTCGACACTATAGCCAAACCATTGAGGATTCATTGTGATAATACGGCAGCTATGTTCTTCTCAAAGAACGACAAATATACTAGTGGTGCCAAGCACATGGGTTTGAAATTTCTGTCTGTTAAGGAGAAGGTACAAAATCAAAAGAGTATCAATAGTGCACATTGGCACCGATCTTATGATCACGGATCCGTTGACTAAGGGATTGGCGCCCATGACCTTCATTGGCCATGTTGGAAGAATGGGCATAATGGTAAAGTGCTTGTATAACGGTTAACTCTGCCATACATGTATGGATTTATGTTTGATAGAACATCAGGTTGATGATACTCTTAGATATCTATTCAGGTTTTGATTTTGTTATGGTTGATGTTGATCACTTATTTATGCATAATTCAGAAGTGATAACAATGGTCTTGTTTAGGACATAAGGAATAAGGTACTTTCGGATTTTACATTATTATTATGGTTCGAATTCTTATTAACTGTGATACATGGAAGGGAGCGGGACGCTATGTCAGGCTTGTAACCGCCATGATTCGGTTAATAAAGTTCGATAAGGTGGTGACTTTTACATTTTCATATTAAGTGAGCTCAAATTAAGGATTGAAAATTGTAAAGTCACGCATATATGAATCAAGTGGGAGATTGTTAGAAATAATTTATTCCTAACGTTGATTCATATAATTAAGTTGTCATGCTCATATGAATCAGTGGGAGACTGTTAGAAATAATTATTTCCTAACAATGATTTATATAATAAAGGTTGTAATTCCATAAGGTACTCACGTTGATGATTAGTGATGTGTAAAAGCAGAATTACTGGGTGAAATTCCCTCCCTCTCATTCTGTTAAAATTTAAGTTTATAAGGGTTAAAAGATGTATAATGGATAAGGTTATGGGTCTCACAATCCTAAAGGGATTTCTATTCCTAAAGGAGGTCACATTCCTAAAGGGATTTCTATTCCTAAAGGAGGTTCCTCATTCCTCTTGAAAGAGGGTTTCTCATCACATCTATAAATACCTAGGAAAACTCTAGGGATCTTAACGGTTTCAAATCTCTAAGTTTTCTAGTCTCCGTA